GTGATAGAAAAGTATAAGCCCCGTGAGACATTTGAAATACACGGTAACAATGATCATTTAAGCAAGAGATGCTAACAATTGCTGACCAACCAGGTGGCCACACAAAAACAAGACAGTCCAAATGTCCTATTCAACTCTCAGAATTGATAGGAAGAGCAAATAAAGAAGACAAATAGTTTCTCACAGCCCTGACCAGAAGACTTCCCGGTGTCATAAAATGTTCATTGTGAAAAGACAAATGTACCTGGATTGTAAGAGAAATAAAACATCTGGCAAGAGATTTGTCTCACAATTTTGGAAAGGACTAAAAAAAACAAACAAACAAAAAAAAAAAAAAAAAAAAACCACCACCACACACCCATCAAGTAGTAACCAAATATTAACCAGTTTTCAATATCATAGGCTATGGATGGTGATTCTCAGGTGGACGGTTTGAAAAACATTGAAACACAAAAATGATTTACGAACAATACGTACCTACAAATCAGAACACCAAAAAAGATATGAGGTATATTATATGATGGACTGAATAGCACATTTGCATCATTTGACAAACTATGACAAATTTCAAGAACATTCTTCTGAAATAGTAGCCATCTTCATAATAATTGATACCTGCAGAGATATATTTCCCATCTAACAAGGATGGTTCACAATGTTTAACCCAACGCAAACCAATGGACTTTAAGAAGGATATCTATGAAAGCCGCGCTGATATTATTATACAGGATTTATATAGTGTCAACAGTTTGAAACTCAGGTGATTGTAGACTAAACGTTCTAGGAGTTTAGAGGTAAATGGCAGCAGGGAGATGGGTCTTAAGTTGTTCAGGTTGGTGGGGTCCAGGGAGGGCTTTTTAAGTATGGGAGTGATGTGTGTAAGCTTTAGAGGGGAGGGGAAGGCACCATTAGAGAGTGAAAGATTGAAGATGTGAGGGAGCATAGGATAGAAGAGGGTGACTGTGGTAGTTGTGAGGGGACAGGATCCAGGGGGCAGGTAGTGAGACGGGCGTCTGAGAAAACCTTAGTGACCTCTTTGGTAGTAGCAAGGTCATAAGAGGAAAGTGTTGAGGGAGGTTTAGTATAAGGTATGCCAAGTGGGATGGATGTCTCTGTAGTGGAGATGCCCCTATGAATTGCGTCAATCTTGTTTTTGAAATGATTTGCAATCTCGTGAGCGAGGTACTGGGTGGAGGTGGAGAAAGTAGAGAGATGATTAGGACTGGATGACGACAAGGTATAAGAGTGACAAAGTAGGCTTGTTTGGCAGCATGAAGGGAGGAATTGTATGTTAAGAAATCAGATTTATATAGGGTGAATGCTTGCTGAGATTTGGTTCTATGCCACAATCGCTCCAGCGCACGACTATGTCGTTTAAGATTTCTGGTGTGGTCAGTCTGCCAAGGTTGTAACGGTCGGGGCCTGATGATTTGTGTTAGAGGAGCAAGTGAGTCTAATGCAGATGAAAGCGAACTGTTGTAGACAGTAGTGGCCAGGTCAGGGCAGGGGAGAGGTTCTGTCAGAGGCAGTCAGTTGCTGAGTGGAAAGGAGAAGGGTTCAAGTTGTGAAAGTTTCTGCGGGTAATTGTTTGCTGCTTGGAGGGATAGGTGTTTAAAGACAAGGAGACTGAAGGTGATGAGATTGTGATCAGTGAGAGGAAAGGGGGTATTTGTGGTTGTAGGGAGTGCAAAGATGGGAGAAAACAAGGTCTAATGTATTCCCATCAGAGTGAGTGGAGGACTGTATACACTGTGCTAATGCAAAAGATGAGGTTAGGTTAAAGTGTTGGGATGTAGCCGGTTTTTAACATTAATAGGGATGTGAAAATCTCCGAGAATGATAGTGGGTAGTTCAGAGGAAAGAAAGTAGGGTAGCCAGGTGGAGAAATAATCAAGAAAGCGGGACACGGGTCCAGGAGGCCAATAGATCACTGAAATCCTCAGAGAAATGGAAGAAAACAGCCGGATGCAGTGAGTCTCAAAAGAAGAGAAGGATAGAGAGGGAGGGTTAGGAAGGACTTGAAGGTGAAGCAATGAACTCACTGTCCAGCTCAGAGGTGATTAATGCACAATTCAAAATGGAAAGCAAATTCTAGCAAGAGGAAGGTTAAATGAACGTCTGTACAAACTAATCATTGAAAGTGAGAAGGCTAATGCGGCAACTCATAACCCACATGACAAGTGCATCCACCTGTGACATAGAAGATTGGGGCATCGAAACCCAGAAGCTATAAAAAGGACTTTGCAAAGAGAGGTCTATCAGAAAACATGAAAATATTGCCTTGCCACACACTTAGCAAGTGCACGTGTTGCATCAAAGCAAAGGCCACCCGAACCTCTCTTCCACAGACCAGTCATAGTAAAACCATTAAACCCATGGAACCGATACACAGTGATGTGTGCGAACCAATGAAAACCATCACACCTGGCGGGAACAGATATTTACTGACTTTCATTGACAATTATTCCAGCTACACAATAACGTATCTAATGAAGCAGAAAAGTGAGACATTAGAAAAACTTCAAGAGTTTGTAGCTATGACAAGCAAGTTTCAAAGGAAACCTGGAATAATACGCACTGACAATGGAGGGGAATATATGAATAAAGAGATGGAATCATACCTAAAGAAACAAGGTATTATACACCAAACAACCGTACCATACACTCCTGAGCAAAACGGTGTAGCTGAAAGAAAGAATCGCACTCTTGTAGAAATGACCAGATGTATGATTTCGGACGCTGGCTTACCTAACAAATACTGGGGAGAAGCAATAATGACTGCAACATACCTACAAAACAGGCTTCCATCAAAAGCTATTGAGAGTACACCATATGAAATGTGGAATGGATCAAAACCTAACGTAGGACACATCAGAGTGTTTGGCTGTAAAGCATATGCCCACATTCCAAGTCAGAAACGCTCCAAGTTGGAGAACAAAGCCATAGAAGGCATTCTGGTTGGCTACAGTGAGCAGAGTAAGGGATAAAGAATGCTTTGTCCAAAGACCAACAAGGTCACAGTAAGCTGCAGTGTTTATTTTGATGAAAGTGAAGCATCAGATAATACAATTCTTGAAAAATATGGAGAGGATTTATGCGCTGAATCGGCAAGAGACACTGACCCATGCGAAGCAGGACAAGAGCCAGAACAAGAAGTGGAACTTACAATCAACGAGCCAACAGAACCCACTGAACAACAAGAAATCAGAAGATCCTCTCGAATGACAAAAAGGGATACCACCACCCCGCAGGTTATCATACGCTGCTAAAACACATCAAACACAGGAGCCAACATCCTGGGAAGACATAGAAACTTTGCCGAGAAGGGAAGCCGATCAGTGGAGAAAATTAGCTGAAGAAGAAATAAAATCACTTCAAGAAAATAAAACTTGGTCACTAACAGAACTCCCTCCTGGTCGCAAAACCATCGGAAACAAATGGATTTTTAAAGTGAAATATGATGCAGAAGGAAACATCTATAGATACAAAGCAAGATTAGTTGCCAAGGGATACTCCCAGAAATTTGGAGAAGATTACGATGAGACATTTGCTCCAGTTGTGAAACATTCCACCATAAGGACACTCCTTAGTATTGCTGCCGGAAAGGGAATGCAAGTAAAGCACCTAGACGTCAAAACTGCCTTTGTATGGAGACATCAAGGAGGATCTGTACATGGAACAGCCACCAGGCTTTGAGAAAGAAAAGAACCTTGTATGCAAACTGCAAAAGAGCATCTACGGGCTCAAGCAAGCGGTGAGAGCATGGAATGAAAGTGAACGAAATACTCAGAAAAGAAGGGTTCTCAAAAAGTAAAGCAGATCCATGTCTGTATTCAAAGAACCAAGAGAACAAATGGACATACATCCTAATATTTGTCGATGACATCTTGACGTGTTTTGAACAAGAAGGGGACTATGACCAAATAGTTCACAAACTGAAACAAAATTTTGAAATTAAAGAGTTGGGGAACATTACTCACTACCTAGGAATTCAAATAGAGCGGGAAGAGGATGGAAGCTATCTTCTTAACCAAAGTCAGAAAATTACAGAAATGTTAGAACAGTTTCACATGCAAGATGCAAAGGAAGCGAAAACACCAATGGAACCGGATTATCCAAAAAAAAAAAAAACAATGGAACAGAAAACTTGTTACCAAACAATGATTATTACCACAGAGCAAATCAGAAAATTGCTATACATCACCACCGTGACAAGACCAGACATCGCCCTAGCAGTGGGAATACTTTGCAGGAAAGTCGCAACACCGTGTCAGCGTGACTGGAATGCAGTAAAGAGGGTAATGCAGTACCTCAAGGGAACATAAATCGGATGAAGCTGCGACTTCCAGCATCAACAAACCCAAAACCGATTGGATATGTGGACGCCGATTGGGCTGGAGACACCACTGACCGCAAATCTACAAGTGGTTACATCTTCCAGTATGGACAAGGAACCATAAGCTGGTCTAGTCGGAAACAAGTGACTGTTGCACTCTTCAACTGAAGCGGAATACATAGCAGCAGCACAAGCATGTCAAGAAGCCATTTGGATTTGTCAACTTCTGCTAGACATGGGACTGAATATGTCACAACTAGAGATGAGCGAATTATTCAAAAATTCGATTCGGCCGATTCGCCGAATTTGCGGGAGAAATTCGATTTGATGCGAATTTATTCGCCGCAAATTTAACTTATTAAAAGGGTTTCTAGGCTTCAGAGAGCCTTTATATTAGTGCAGAACACTGTACCTTTAATTTAAATGCCCTTGGAGTCTGCTGGGGAAGAGAAATAATACTGTCAGTCAGTATGACATGCAGATGAGTGCCGTCGATCTTAGAATCACGGGGCACGACAAAGGAAAAGGAGAATGAAAAGAAGAAGAAGGAAAAGAATGAAAAGAAGAAGAAGAAGAAAAGAAAAGAAGAAGAAGGAAAAGAATGAAAAGAAGAAGAAGAAGAAGAAGGAAAAGAATGAAAAGAAGAAGAAGAAGAAGAAGGAAAAGAATGAAAAGAAGAAGAAGAAGAAAAGAAAAAAGAATGAAAAGAAGAAGAAGAAGGAAAAGAATGAAAAGAAGAAGAAGAAGGAAAAGAATGAAAAGAAAGAAGAAGAAGGAAAAGAAAGAAGAATTCCAGTCCAGCAAAAAGTGTATCTGCAGAGAGCTCCGCTATTTCTGACAGTTCTGACAGTTCCTTCACATTTACAGCGGTTGAAACATTGTATCTATTTCCGAATAAAAACATCTGTATCCTAAATGGAAACAAATAGATACAATGTTTCAACCGCTGTAAATGAAACTGTCAGAACTGTCAGAAATAGCGGAGCTCTCTGCAGTGACACTTTTGCCGGCTGATCGGGAAAAATTCGATTCGTGCACCCGAAGTTTGCTAAAATTTGGATTCGATGCGAATTGAATTTTTCCTGATATTCAAAACGAATTCCACTTCACCAGGTTCGATTCGCTCATCTCTAGTCACAACCCACACCCATCTTTGAAGACAACCAGGGATGCATAAAGCTTACACACTCTGAGAAGATTAACCCAAGAACCAAGTACATTGATGTAAGATATCATCTGCTCAGAGACATGCAAGAACAAGGGGTTATCAACATCCACTACTGCCCATCAGAGGAGATGACTGCAGACGCACTCACCAAACCTTTGCCAAGGGAACGTTATTGTTTTCTACAAAAGAGACTAAATGTCATAATTATGCACATGCCGTTGAGAAGGGGTGTTGGGAATGCAACAGCATGTACTATATAGTATTGTGTGTTAATATCACTTGACCAGTAGATGGCTGTAAGGGACCACCCAGCGGTACCTCTAGCAACCCACCGGTGAGGTGCTTCCAGCGTGCGGAATCTAAGTCCCAGAGCACTTGTTCACCAGGGCCCCTGATGGTGGGGATGGACTTGTTGCGCTCTGAGACCAGGTCGCAGTTACTGGGCACACTCGCCACTGGTAGGGGTATCCGTCAAGGGCTCCCACAGAGGAAGAGTCTAATGTGAAAAGGCTGGGAGATCCCGACGGGATGGGTGGATGGCTGAGCGAGTGCGAGGTCAGGCAGGCCGGGTCGATAACTATGGGGACGGTGCGGTACAAAGCAGCGGGCAGAGAGTAGTCGAATCACACGCCAGGTCAGCAACAGCAGGTCAGGTCCAATAGGGGGCATCCAGGAGAGAGGTCAGGCAAGCAAGGGTCAGGACAGGAGAAAACAGCAAGGTCAGGTCACAATCCGGGTCAGAAACTCACTTATTCACAGGCTCACAGGATACAGGATACAAGGAGACCAGAAGGCACTGAATGACAGCTCAGGGCCATTTAAATATCCCGCCCTGCGCTGTCATTGGTGCCAAGCGCGCGCCCGCGGTCTCTACCGCGCATGCGCAAACTTGATTGCCGCGGTCGGCCAGGTCCCAGTGCCCGCGTCCCCGCGTCGAGCCTAGCGCTGCGGCGATCCCCAACAATGGCACTGTACACTAAGGTTACCAGTTGTGCATATGTGTAAAACTTGTTGGTTCTCTCTCTTCCTTCCTCTCTTTAAAACCAAGATGTCTGCTGAAATATGTTCTGTATGTTTGCAACTTAAGCCACACAAGTAAAACAAAGTTCTGCCGCATCACAAGCTACCAGTGTCTTCTCTAACACATAACCAACACCATTAACTTCTTGCCAACCGCAGATAGCCGAATGACGGCTACACTGCGGCCGGCCAGTTCTGGGAGGGTGTCATATGACGTCCTCCCAGAATGCACTCTCCTGCGCGCCCCCGGCGATCTCCGTGACACACAGACACAGCTGATCACGTGATGTGGTAAAAGGTCAATCACAGCGGCCTTTTACCATTTGATCAGCCGTGTCCAATGACACGCTGATCACCGGGAAATGCAATTGCCGGTTCTCAGCTGCACTTTCCTCACGCTGTCAGAGCACGAGGAAAGAACTGCCAAGAACCGGCAGTTGTCAGAGCAGGGATTGGCACCGATCATCAGGGCACTGATAAACAGTGCCATCCACCAGTGCACCCACCTGTGCCCAGACATGCCCCCCACCTGTGCCCATCAATGCAGTGCTAGCAGTTGCCCCAGTCAGTGCCCAGCAGTTCCACCAGTCAGTGCCACCTCAAACGCACAGTGGAGAAGAAAAAAAAAAAAAAAAATCACCTGTTTGAAAAATTTTAAAATAGAAAGAAAAATTTTTTTTTTCTTTAAATTTTACACTTTTTTGTTTATAGCGCAAAAAACTAAAGCGCCCAGCAGCAATTAAATACCACCAAAAGAAAGCTCTGTGAGAAAAAATAAAAATTTCATATGGGTACAATCTTGCATGACCGCGCAATTGTCAAAGTGCAACAGCGCTGAAAGCTGAAAATTGGCCTGGTAAAGAAAGGGGGTATAAGTGTCCGGTAAGCAAGTGGTTAAAACCAGCACCCCATCGGTGACCACCCCCCTTAAGCTGATCTAAATTTGGTCAAATGAGCACTCTTCTCCACCCCAATTAGGAACTGATAAGGATCACATGAATGGGGGGGGGGGGGATGTTTCTCAAACACAGACCAGACACAGGCCATGGTCATAAAAAGTGCAACAAGAGGTGAGAACTAATCAGACACAAATATATACACTATTTGTTCGGAGATAGCCGGAGTCTATGCGTTGTGGAGGTTGCAGTTTAGAGGGGAGAGCAGACAGCAGCAATTTACCTGTGAAAAGCAGGGAAGCCATGATTAGACTGCTGTGTTCAACTGCTTCTTAGCACTCCAACAAAAACAGCACTCAGGCAGAAAGCATGTTTCATCATGACAGACCTTCCATGCAATATTAATGACATTTCATAGAAGTCTTCCTGACAGTAAAATCAAAATTCTCATTCATGGAACATGACTGCCTCTAGTGGACAGGTACAGACTAACAATGTATCCTGACTGCCCAAACTGAAAGACAGTCAAACACTTACTATGGGGGACCCAACAGACAACGGATCCCCACAGTAGTTACACAGGGAAAAAAAAAAAACCCTTGCTTGCTAAAAAGACTTTTGCTGCTCACACTTGATTTTTCTTGTTAACACTTTCAATTACTGAAAAGGACACACACTTTGCTGGCTGGAGAGACTGTTGCTTGCTAAGGAACACCACTTGTACCTGCCTGCCGTCCCATCCAGAAATCTGCAGACCGCCATCCCTGGGAGTGGTGAGATATTGTGGCCCAAGTATCATAACTTATCCATCCCAAACTCATTAATGGAACTTTAACTGTCTCTATGGAGCTGTAGTGCTGGTACTGTGCACGGCGGCGATATAAACTGATCATTATTCCGGAATTGTATAAATCTTGTTGAAACATTGAGATTGGATGATGTGTAGGGAGTTGGGTGCTTATTTATCGTATCGGGTTGTATTGTTTGTAGGCAATACAGTTTTCTTTTTTCTCTTTATGGCTCTGCTGAAAACGTATGGGTTTTAGGACGCACTTTAAGTGTTTCAGTTTGTTATATCAGAAGTAGTCTCCCACCTTCCTTCATTAGAGGAACTGCACCGAATACTGAAATAGGATATTTTACTAATCGTTAATCCAGGGTTTTGTTATTTTACTCTGCTAGTGTATACATTTAGGGCTCCATGCACATGGGGGGGGGGTAATAACGCTGGTAACGTTAGCTGTGTTAAGTTAAAAGAAAAGCACAAAATTTTTTCAGCCTTTAGTAGGTTTTTTTGACCCCCCCCCCCCAAATTTTTTTTTTTTGCTCAAAAAACACTGGTTTGTGCAATTTCACGGTTATATAGTTTTTACAGTTAAAATTCTCTAGAAACAATAGTCCTGGGTTTTTCCAGCCAAAAACATTGCTTCCAGTCTGTGTGCATTGACACTAGAGATGAGCGAATCGAACCTGGCGAAGTGTATTTCGTTTCGAATATTAGGAAAAATTCGATTCGCACCGAATCTGAAAATTAGCAAACTTCGGATGCACGAATCGAATTTTTCCCGATCGGCCGATTTTCATCCCTTCTACAGCCGGCAAAAAGTGTCCCTGCAGAGAGCTCCGCTATTTCTGACAGTTCTGACAGTTCCTTCACATTTACAGCGGTTGAAACATTGTATCTATTTGTTTCCATTTAGGATACAGATGTTTTTATTCGGAAACAAATAGATACAATGTTTCAACCGCTGTAAATGTGAAGGAACTGTCAGAGAACTGTCAGAAATAGCGGAGCTCTCTGCAGGGACACTTTTTGCTGTACTGGAATTCTTATTTTCATCCTACTTCTTCTTCATCCTCATCCTCATCCTCATCCTCATCCTCATCTCTCATCCTCATGCCCCGTGACTGCCCAAATGAGTGAAGTGTGCGGGGATTCTAAGATCGACGGCACTCATCTGCATGTCATACTGACTGACAGTATTATTTCTCTTCCCCAGCAGACTCCAAGGGCATTTAAATTAAAGGTACAGTGTTCTGCACTAATATAAAGGCTCTCTGAAGCCTAGAAACCCTTTTAATAAGTTAAATTCGCAGCGAATAAATTCATTCCCGCAAATTCGGCGAATCAGCCGAATCGAATTTTTGAATAATTCGCTCATCTCTAATTGACACATAGGATATCATGCTGGGGAGTTCACTGCCTGTAGGGAAAAAAAAAAAAGTCAAAAAGCCGCTGTAAAAACATCCCGTGTGCAGGAGGACTAAAGATTGACCTAAATTGCAAGTTATTCCCTTGTGTGTAGGGAATACTAATCCCCAGTAATTAGTATTCAAATGTATCATTTTATTTGTATATCTGGTAAGAAGTCACATTGTGGTAAAATAACTCAGGAAAATGACATTGTGGGGTAGATTTTATCAAGGGGTCTGTAAAGTAATTTTGCTGTAATGGCTGGAGACCCCATCATAATTATACACAGGAGTCAGACTCCGCCCATTAATTGAGATTTCGCTTTTGAGGAATTTTAATGTAGGCAGTGTGGTATCTGGGACACGGTTATCATTTTAGAGATATATGTTGGGAAATTTGTTTATTTAGCACAATTTTCATATTTTTTGCACACTGATATTGCTGACTGTTACACAAAATTAAAACGCCACATTACCCAAACGCATTACAAGAACTTGGAGGGGGAGGGTAGGTCTGCTGGGTGTTGTAGTGCAGGGCAGTGATTGGCAGCTGTGGTGTTCCCAAACCCCACATGACCCCTCAAAAAAAAAACAAAAAAAAAAAAAAAAAAAACACACACACCATAAGAAACACCCGTGTGAAAGAGCCCTTAGAAAAGTATTTTACCAAAAGAATAGTTCATGCTTGGAATAGACCTCCAGCAGAGGCAGTCATTACCAGGAGGAGGAATTATGATTTTACTCAAAATTAGGTCAGACTCAAACCATTTGGTCATTTTCTGTTGTCTAGATTTCTGCAAAAGGATGAGAATTTTTTTAAGCAAAGACAAAGGCAGAGAAAAAAACCCCCCCCCCCCACCTTGTGCAGTTATAATGCCGTGTTCCTATGTGAAACATTATTGTAAGCAGCTGCACCAACAATCCAATGACCAGTCAACAAAAATACAAAAGTGCCCTGTGCTGGATCAGAACCCGACCACTAAAACATACAACCCTCTAAAAAGATACACTGCAAATACAATACATAAAAATAATAAATGCATAAAAAAAAAAAAAAAAACCCACACAGGGCAGGACACATCTTCAAGAGTATTAGCAAATCTTCCCAACCCCAAAGTGGTGCTTCTCTTGTGCAGGAACCACAAATCTGCTCCACAAAGCTGAACAAAAATGTCATCCACCCCAAATTATAACTAGACTTTAGACTAAGGGGCACATGGACGGGTTTTATAGAAAACAGAACATAGTTCCAGCACACTGACCAGCAATCCAATAACATCAAACAGTCCAACCAAATGCTTTAGTCTCACAACATCCACAAATTTCCCCAGCAGCCTTGCCATGACCACTCTGTATAGCCCAGACTCCAGTCTATGAGCTCCTCCATGTTGGAGGATATATAACAATGGATCAATTGAGGACGGGTGTGTCTAAAGGAAGAGGCTGCCTGCAAAGATACAGGGACATGGAGGAAGCCCAGCAAAGCCCAATGGCAGCTGAAGGCATCTTCAAAGTCAAACAAAAAATGTCATCCACCCCAATTTATAACTAGCTTCCAGGTGCACATGGAAGAGCTTTGCACAACACAAACTCCATTCCCCAGTGCACTCAGCAGCTTGACAGCAAATAAACAAAAAAAAAAAAAAAAAAAAAACACAAAAACAAATGACTTATTCCAACAATTTACATACAAACAGAGGTTTAGTTGCACAAAATCTAGAGAGTAAAATGGTGGGTGTTGCAATTTTTTTTTATGTCACACAGTATTTCTGCTGAAGTTTTTTAAAACACATTTTTTTTGGGGGGAAAAAATGCACTTTAATTTTTAATAATGCACAAACCCCGATATAATAGTCAATTGTGTGGTAAAGGATGGTGTTACACCGAGTAACTAGATATCTGTCACGCTTTACAATTGTGCGCACTCATGGAATGGAGACAAACCGCACTACTTAATAATCTCCATAGGAAACATTTTAAAAGCCTTTTCAGGTCACCAGTTTAGAGTCACACAGGAGGCTTTATGCTGGAATTATTGCTTTCTCTCTGACGATCACTGCGATCCTCTCATGTGCGGTGTGAACACTGTTTATATATGTGTGGGCGGGACTTCTGTATGCGTTCACCTTTGTGCACAAGCACAGGGGTGCTTTAACCCTTCCCAACTGTGCTATAGCCAAAAGATGGTCCGGAATCATCCAGTTCTGGGAGGGTGTCTATAGATCTGATCACAAATCATGGTAAAGGGCCAATCACAGTGGCCTTTACCATGTGATCAGCTGTGTCCAATCACAGCTGATCACATTGTAAACTAATTTTACTGGTTATCAGCAATCCTTTCCTCACGCGCTGTCACAGTGTGAGGAGGAGAGCCAGCTACCAGCGATTTTGACAGGGGATATTTACACTGATCGTCAGTGCCTGATTATTAGTGCAGCCCAATCAGTGCACATCAGTACCATCATCAGTGCCACCTATCAGTACCCATCAGTACCCATCAGTGCCACCTATCAGTACCAGTACCTCATCAGTGCCACCTCAGTCAGTACCTCCTCATCAGTGCCGCCTATCAGTACCCATCAGTACCTCCTCATCAGTGCCGCCTATCAGTACCCATCAGTACCTCCTCATCAGTGCCGCCTATCAGTACCCATCAGTACCTCCTCATCAGTCATCAGTACCCATCAGTACCACCTATCAGTACCTATCAGTACCCATCAGTACCTCCTCATCAGTGCCGCCTATCAGTACCCATCAGTACCTCCTCATCAGTCCATCCTATCAGTACCCATCCCTCATCAGTACCCATCAGTACCTCCTCATCAGTGCCGCCTATCAGTACCCAGTCAGTACCTCATCAGTGCCGCCTATCAGTACCCATCAGTACCTCCTCATCAGTGCCGCCTATCAGTACCCATCAGTACCTCATCAGTGCCGCCTATCAGTACCCATCAGTACCTCATCAGTGCCGCCTATCAGTACCCATCAGTACCTCCTCATCAGTGCCGCCTATCAGTACCCATCAGTGCCGCCTCCTCATCAGTGCCGCCTATCAGTACCCATCATCAGTACCTCCTCATCAGTACCGCCTATCAGTACCCATCAGTGCAGCCTCATCAGCAAACATCAGTGTAGGAGAAAAAAATCAATTATTTGTAAAATGTTATAACAGAAACTAAGAAAATTTTTTTTTCAAAATGTTCGGTCTTTTTTTTCATTTGTTTAGAAAAAAATAAAAATGTTGGTGATTAAATACTACCAAAAGAAAGCTGTATCTGTCTAAAAAAAAAAAAGTTTCTTATGACTACATTGTTGCATGCAATTGTCATTCAAAGTGCGACAGAGCTGAGAGAGCTGAAAATTGGCCTGGGCAGGAAAGGGGGGGGAAAGGGGAATTCTGGTATTGAAGTGTTTTTTTTTTTTTTTTTTTATTTTTTTTTAATACTTATTTATTTGTTTTCATTTGTTTAAATCACTTTTATTGCTATCACAAAGGATGAACAAAATCCCTTGTGATAGCATGGGCAGTGACAGGTCCTCTCTACTGAGACATCTGGGGTCCATTAGACCCCAGATCTCTTCTCTGCCCTTAAAAACATCTGATCAGACTGAGATTGGTGTGATCAGATGCTTTCACAGGCTGGTAATGGATTGTTTACATTAGACCAAAACCAGAAATGACAAAATACTTGTTGCTTCCAGTTTCTTAGATCATAGAAATGATTGGGGATGTTCTGGTCTTTGTTATCTCTATGGTTGGCAGGCAGGACCAGCGACTTCAGTGTGGGGCTCCCTGGTGGGATGGGAGAGAGCCCCAAAGAAGCATTAGGGGGGCCCCCTTCAGTTGCATGCAAAAGCAATCCAGTGATTCATTAGCCACTTGGATCACTTTTTTTTATTTTGCATTGCTGTGGCTGAAAAAAAAAAAAAAAAAAAATATTGGGGTCATGACTGGAGCTCCAGCCATGACCCCAGTTATACCAAATTCAACCAGAGGATGTACAGGTACGGTTCTTTTGAGGGAAGTGGATATGGAAGCCAAATGTAACCCACGGTCACCAGAGTGAATTGATTTTTTTGGGGTTAAAAATTTGTGTATAGCAATGGTTCCCAACCTTAGCTGTCAAGTACCCCAAGTAGGTCATGTTTTGGGAATTCACCTTTAGATATAATAGAACAAGAGATATGCCGGAAGCACATGAAGGATCTCCAAAAAGCATCCAAACATTTTATTAAATGATCACATCACACCATAACAACATCCTGGTCTCTGAGCCCTGCAAGGCCCCTTCTTCAGGCATGTGACTTTTTTTTTTGCATAATATTTTATTGATCAGAATTTAAGAGATTACAAAATACAATACAAAGAATACAAGAACAAAAATAACTG